TCAAGCTATTGTGGTCGTAAGGAGAAAATCAAAAAGGAATTGCACAAAGGACAATTGGTGTTATTGTGCAAATCCCGTCTTTGGTTATTTCCAAGGAAGCGCAAATCAAAGTGGTCGCGGCCGTGTATTGTCCAAGAAATTCTTCCTCACGAGGTGGTCAAAATAAAGGAGCGGGATTCAAATCGTACGTTTAACGTGAAGCGGAGCCGGCTCAAACCATATTGGGAAGCGAGTGAAGATTGCCAAGTGACATCGGTCACTTTTGCTGAAAATAAAGAAGCAACGTCCGGCTGAAGACTTTAAACTTAGCGCTTCTCGGGAGGCAACCCGAGCTTTATCGTAGTTTTCTTTAATTTTACGTTTCGTTTTTATTGTCATAGGCATGCATTCTAATTAATTTATTTTAATTTTAACTTTTCAGGATCGAAAACATGATCGAGGAGTCCAGACGACCGCCCGCTCGAAAAAAAAAAAAAAAAAAAAACATTTGCAGCACTGCTTTTGAGACGGCCGTCCCAAAATATACCTTTAAAATGGGACGGCCGTCCCACGTCCAGAGGTGAACCAGTAGCCTCAGACGGCCGTCCAGAAATAATGCACAAAACCGGGACGGCCGTCCCTAAACCAGTGAGGCAAGACTACTTCTCGGACGGCCGTCCGAGAAATAGGCAAATATGTGGGACGGCCGTCCGAACTCAAAAGGGGGCGTTTAAATTTTCGAAAATTAGATTTTCTCCCCCATTATTTCTTAAACCCTCATGTTTCATTCTCTCTAACTCCCACACACGAATTTTCGATTTTTTTGAATTTCTCTTCCAAAAATTCTTCGATTCCACACACATAATTCACTCACACACTCTCCGATTCTTATTTTGTGTTGGTATTGACAGGAAGGCTAGAGAATCGAACCAACCTCTACAAAATCTACTCATTCAAGGCACGCCCACAAGGTGTTCGACAATTTGCCTCAACCAAATTTGGGAGTCGATTCTCGTCCAATTCTTACCGAATCCATTCCCAAAGTACTCCCAAATATGCCGTCCAACAAAAGATGCCGCACGAATGAAGCTTCATCCTCCAAAGGCAAAGGCAAAGGCAAGAAAGGTGCCACCAAAACGACGGTTCCTTTTCCCGAAAAAGAAGCCTTTAGTGTGGAAGGCGCCGCGGCTCTATTTACTAAACAAGGCAAAAAGACCGTCATCACGGAACGGGCCTTGACAATCACGTTGCCACACTTAGCCAATCTTAACCAAGAAATCATAAGACGAGGATGGCAAAGGTTGTGTGAACCGGAGCCAATTTACAATATCTCAATCGTGCGAGAGTTCTACGCCAACACGTTGGCACTCAAGCTTCCAAGTCAATCCAGAAGTGTAGTGCGCAACATCTATGTTGAGTGGGAAGCGAACGATATAAGTCAATATTACGGACTCCCGTATTTAGGGCAAAGTTGGCGAGAGATGAGGAACGAAGTCACCAAAGAGCAAATTGGTGAAGTATTGAGTGACGCGCATCCAATGTGGATTGAATACCCGGAAGAGCATTAATTATGAAGGCAAGGCATGGTTGACGTTCATTTGCGCCAACATAATCCCGACTACTTCATTTAGTCGGATCAACCACGAACGGTGTGCGCTCGCTTATTACATTATCACGGGTAAGCCCCTCGATATTGGGACCGTTATGTATGATCAATTATGGAGGACAATGCAAGATAATACAAAATGCATCTTCTTCCCTAGCCTCGTAACGGGGTTGTGCAAAAGAAAGAGGGTCCCCAAGTTACCAAACGATATCGAGCTCAACATCCGGAAGCCACCCATGACGAGCCGCAAGCCGCTCTTCCAGCCCGAGACGAGCCCGAAGCCTCAAGCTCCAATGCCGATCGACGATTCCGAAAGAAGAGGAGAGAGAGATAATAATTACGAGGAATCGATTGCCTACCGTCGAGCATAATGTCAATACGGTGGAGGCACTTCAACGGCGGTCGAGCAAAATGCTACAAGCTATTGTCCAACACTTGGCATGCGGGACGCCCGATTGCATCGAGCCGGCACCTTTACCGGCACCCATTCTTGAGCCCGTACCCGAGCTTTCCGATGAGGACGAGCGTGAGAGAGCGAGGGAGGAGCACCCCGATCACATCGACTCCGACTAAATCAGGTGTTTTCTATCCTTAAACTTTATGCTAAATTCATTGAGGGCAACGAAAATTTTAAGTTTGGGGTGAAAAACATGTTATTTTTGTGCTTATTTGTTTTAGTTTGCATGCATTAGGTTTTATTCGTTTTTATTGTTTTTCTCGTTTTTTTTCCGGAATATAAAAAAAAAAAAAAAAAAAAAAAATTGCTTGAGTCGAATGCATCGATGATTTATGATGATGAGAGATGATCAATGTTTGATGATGAGATCGCTTGTTTTGTGTGATAAGGATTTGATGTTTGTTTAGCTTTCGATTCAACGGGACTTAGAAGCGAATTATTGCTAGGAATCACATTTTGTGCATTGCTTTGGTTGAATGTTTTGTATTTTAAATTTAGAATTAATTTGTGCTAGATCATGCTATGTTCGGTTTTAAGACTCACCTTAGGAAATTTATGATACGAAGTATTGAGTAGTGAGTGATTTGGGATATGATTTGGGCCTTCTTTGAACCGTTTGAGCCTTTCAAGCCGACCTTTTTATCGAAATTATCCTTAGAACCTTGATTTGAGCCTCGGAGAAAAGGTGTTCTTTCTTTTAGCCAATGTGTAAGGTAGAATAGGTGGAGATTCTTGAAAATTACCCCTTGGAGTTCGGTCGAAATTTTTTATAAGGTCCTTCTTCTTCTTCTTCGAAAAAAAAAAGAAAAAAAAAAAAAGAGAAAAAGAGAAGAAGAAGAGATTAGAAGGGAGAACTAAGGACTAATTGTTGAATTATTTTTGAAAACTCGATCCATTGCCTCAAAAGCAAAAGTGGAGACTTTTGAACTTTTGAGAATCGAGTTTATTAAAGTCCGTATAGGTGAATTCATTGTTTCAAACACCTATCTTTCAAATTTTGGCGTAATCACCTCAATTCAAGAAGAATAGCCACATATACCCATACTTCCTACCTCGAACCAAAGAGCCTAATAATTGAAAGCCACAAAGCCCCAATGATCCCAATAGCTTAATGTTCGATATTAGTAGAGTAGAATAATTTGGTGAGTATTTGGAGTCAAGCATATGCATGTAAGTATAAATTCTTTCTATCTTTAATTTGCAAATATTGGATGCTTGAAGCAACTGTATGAATTGTGATTTTTGGTAATGGTGAGTGACTAAGTGTTGTTGAATTTTGAGCTTGCGAATGCCTAAGAATTGTCATTATAATTACAAGTTCTGAAAACGTGAAGTTGATCATTGATCTATGTGATGAGATGTTATCGTTGAGTTATTTGCTTATTGGTAGATTTTGCTTGAGGACAAGCAAAAATTCAAGTTTGGGGGTGTGTTAAGTGTATATTTTTTACACTTTATCGTACCTTTTTATTTGAGCTTTTGGTGTGTTTTAACGATAATGGGTGCTTAAAAAGTTGATTTATTGTATTTTAGGTACAAATTGAAGAATTGGAAAAGTATGGGGTCAAAACTGCAATTTTGGAGAAAATATGGGCCAAAAGTAAAAAAATCAAAATTCTGAAGATTTAATGCTCGGACCCCGTCCGAGTTTTATTTCAAATTGTGGGACCCCCGTCCGAGACTCTGAAGCTGCGCAGTAAAGGGATTTTAATTGCCCAAGGAAACTGCCTTCTTCCCCAAGTTCTTCACCCTATATAAGACCAAGCCAAGCACACAATTGGGGATCTTTTTTACACAATTTCAAGAACAACAAAGCAATAACGAAGACGAAGAATTCGAAGACTCCAAGCATAGATTTATTTTATTTGTGTTTTTCCTTTAATAATGAGTAGCTAAATTTCTTATTTCTAGGATTTTATTTGGAACCCTATGTGGGATTTATGAACCCAATTCTATGATTTTATTCAAGTTTAATTTCCGGATTATTTCTTCTATTTGTTTTATTAAGCTCATGAAACTGGCCACTTTATGCGCTTTTATGTTATTGTTAATCGCATGAATCGGAAGATCGGGTTAATAATTAAAACTGTGGTAGAAGAGCCTTTGTGGTATTAACATAGGAATATAGTTAATCTCTTAGGTAGCCATTATTGAGATTTGTGCTTAATGCTGTGTTCTAGAATTAATTGCATAGGAATATAGTAATTGAATCTAGAGTATTAGAATCGTAATACACGCGGAAGCGGGTTATGATTATTTTAGCATCTCACGTTAATAATTCGGGTTAATTGCTTGCATAATTGAAGGAATTGAGGGAGCAATAATCACATAGGGGGAAGAATAAAATCCTAGGCTTGCATATCTTGATTAAATCTTCGTTTTAAATTGCTTTCTTGTTTTTGCTTGCTTTTAATTTAATTTAATTTAGTTAATTCTCTCTAAAATTCGACTGTGTAGGGTGGACTTGATAATAATTGGTAGAATTTAGCGTCTAGGATTAGATAATTAAATATTCCCTGTGGGTTCGATATCCGGACTTTTAGTCCACTATATTACTTGTACGATACGTGCACTTGCGTGTAGGTATTTTCGACCAACAACACGCACCGCCGTGGCTCGTATTGCCGCGGCTGCTGTTCCGCCGATGCTGCCCCCTCCCGGATTGTACGGATTGGTTTCCGTAGCAATCCCGCTTTGGTTGGTGCGCCTACCTCACGCTTCAAGAGGTAAACCTTCGAATCAATTGTCAATGGATTCGGTTACGTTTAAATTGAATATGTTTGTTCGTTCTTGTATGATTTTATGTGATTACATGAAATTGTTTTATTTATTACGAGCATGTTATTTGATTTAAACGCAAGCATGCTAGTTGATTTAATTTCGATTAAGTAATTAAGCATGTATGTTGTTTTAAATTTTGCTGGAAGCGCAAAGGTACGCAATTAATTGATTTAATTATCGGGCATGTGTTTATGTGTATTAAAGTTGTTTAAATCGCATAAAATTTTTATTTTCCGATGCGTACACGTGTCTGATTCCCAACAGAAAGATTAGGAGTATATGTTTCCCACAAACTCCTTATCGAGCCAAAGTTACCTTCTGAACATTCTTCACGCATTACCATCAATTTATCTGCTATTTGAATAAAATTCGTGTAAGAAAATATAGAAAAAAAAAACGAGAGTTGAAAGTCAATACGGCCAGTAAGTGCAGACGGGACTTTTATCGATGATCCAAACAGATCCTATATTTCGAAAAGACTCGATCTCACAATAAACGAAACAATGTCTATGGCAAACCAAAGAGAATCACATAATTCCAAATCAAACTAGCTACCCCTGCTTTCGTTCCAAGTTCGACTCATTAGCCTCAAAGTATTATAGATATTGAAATCCTTGAATCTAGTAGCTTGTAATAAGTAAGCATGCAAATGAAAACGTACCGACAAGCTGAAGTTGAATAAATAACGAGGAATTAGAAATACCTCTTCGATGCTGCCACCGTCTATATCAGTATTGAGAGTATCCATGAAATTGTAAAGCATGTCGTCCACATGGCAAATAGATACTTCCTCTTATCCCCAAAATCAAACAACAAATTGAACATCAATTCACTCTGCTTCCAGCAAAAAATGGAGAACAAAAAAACAAAATCTAATCTCAATTTTATTATTAATTAGGGCACATTAAATCCAATTAGGCTTGCAAAAATTCTCCCCAGTCCGAAATTTTCGCAATACTTCAAAATTCAAATCATAATACCCTAATTCCACAAAATTAAAGCTAGCGCTAAAGATAAAATTTTAGCTATAATAATTTGTATTCAGAAATTTAACCTAGAAGAAAGAAACATACCTTTGGACTGAGTGAGAAGACAAAAAATATCGTCGCCGAGTTGCTGCGATTTCAGGAGAGATCCGTGGCCGCCCCACTCGTTCTCGACGGCCGAAGTGCAGTCCACCGAGAAAGCAATAAATTGATTCCCTCTTGCAGCTGCAGCGCCGCACCAGCCGTCGTCGCCGCCGTCGTCGGATTGCTATTCATAATTTTTATGTTTTATACTTCTTAGATCGTGTGTTATCTCGTGCACTTCTATTAAAGACGTGGTGGAAAATATTATCTATCTTTAAATTGTAAAAATTGTAACTTTACCATTTCACCCTTGTACTTTTTTGCCGTATCACTTTACCCTATCTATTCTTATTCTTTCTTACTTAACCCCTTGTACTTGGAAAGTTGTGTCTATTTTTTATTTTTGAGATTAAAAGAGATTTAACTAGGCACCTTACCTGGATGAAGCCAGGCCATGAGCTAGCTTATTAAAAATACGTGAAAAAAATAAAAACCGACAAGAAACAAAAGATAAAGCATGATTACGAATGTCATCTAAGTAAGCCCCAAAAGGGCACAAGGAAGAGTCTTCTCCGTACAGCGCCGTAATGAGTTGACGACAATTATCTTCTATGATAATCGGCTGCCAGCCCTTTAATTTACTTGGGCATTCTGGAGAGCGGCATGAGCTTTGCCGCCTTTAACTCCTTGCAGTGTATGTCCAGGGATTGTTGCAACACTCCACCAGATATTTTCCCTAGGAATTTCGGGCCACGATGGAGATTCTGTAATGAGGCATCAATTAATCTTCACTATCCCATTCGCAGGCGGGGTCCACTTCGCCTGCGGAACGGGGCATTTGAAAATATATAGTCGGCTCAAAGCATGCCATCCGAAAGATATTAAGGTACTATCTCCAACTTCACAACTCGCATCTCGCAAACCCTTTTCCCCATGAGCTTCACGGTTCCTTAAGTCCCACGGTTTTCAACAAATGACCATAGCTAGATGTAAGGTCTCCCGAGATAATTTCTTTCGTAGCCTGTCTAACCAACTTCGAAAAGGATACTGGTTCCGACGAAAATATCAAGATCAAAGGGCTGACTCTGCCAAACCTCGGGCATGCATTCCTCTACACCCAATCAATGCGTGCATAACGGGTCTGATGTGATGTGCATGGGGAAGAGAGCGATAAGGGAGGTTTACGAAACATGGAGTATTTGTTGTTCATAGGGACGATAAGGGAACCAATTACTGGTTTTGTTTGTTTGGCGGTCGGGTTTTGCAGGCATATCTTTTTTTGTCAGTAAACATTTGTTAACTGTTAACTAATAAAGACAAAACTTAGAAGATCTTCAATTAAATTAATCGGCACGGTAGAAATCAATAACCGCAGAACTGGATAAATACACACATAAGACTCGAACGTTTCATTAAAAAAAAATCAAGTACGAAGAGTTAATCGATGTTACCTGTCTGACATAAGAAACATTAGGAGCATTTGTTTCCCGCAAACTCCTTATCGAGCCAAAGTTACCTTTTGAACATTCTTCACGCATTACCATCAATTTATCTGCTATCTGAATAAAATTCGTGTAAGAAAATATAGAAAAAAAAACGAGAGTAGAAAGTCAATACGACCAGTAAATGCAGACGAGACTTTTATCGATGATCCAAATAGAGCCTATATTTCGAAAGAACTCGATCTCACAATAAACGAAACAATGTCTATCGCAGACCAAAGAGAATCACACAATTCCAGATCAAACTAGTTAGCCCTGGCTTTTGTTCCAAGTTCGACTCGTTAGCCTCAAAGTATTATTGATACTGAAATTGATGAATATAGTAGCTTGTAATAAGTAAGCATGCAAATGAAAACGCACCGACAAGCTGAAGTTGAATAATTAACGAGGAATTTGAAATACCTCTTTGATGCTGCCATCGTCTACATCAGTATTGAGAGTATCGATGAAAATATTACCTACTTTTTAAATAATAAGAAGGGGAACTTCACCATTTCACCCTTGTACTTTCGGATCGATCGTATCACTTTATTCCATATATTTTTAATCTTTCTTACTCTTACCCCTTGTACTTGGAAAGTTGTGCTATATGGCCAACATTGTTAGTGTCCATTGTCCAAGCAGTTGCCTTATATATCATCATTTGGTCAGGGTTTTGAATTACAAAAATACTTGCACTCCCCCATCCTCTACTTATATTTTCCCAGAAAACATTGGGTCGAAATTGTAATATATTTGAAATTTTAATTACGACCATCCTCTAAGCTAAGGTAAGGTTTAATAATTACAAAACTCGTTATGTCTGGGTGATTGCAACTACCTCTTCAACTATAAGTCTTCTTACACGTCCACCATTATGGAGTCAAATTCAACCAAATCTTATAGAGTCCGTGTAATCTTCTCTAGTCTTTACACATTTTCTGCAAAAATGCAGTTTATGATGCACCACAATGAGATATATACAAGCCAAAAAACATATCTTACGATCATCTTGCTTCAAAATGTGGAGCTCCAGTGGGATAAAACGGATACAAAATTGAAAATTATTCATATAATCTAAAAGATTACACTAAATTTGAAACCGCAAGGGTGGACGATTTATAGTTGATGGGTGGTTGTAATTACCTAAACATGAGGTTTTTTTTTTTTTTGTAATTTGACCATACACAGGGGTGGTTGTAATTTACCCTTTTTTTAATTGGATTTAAATTGATGAAATTCAAAAAATTCGATAAAATAATGGATTTTTTAGATGCTACATTTGGTGAAATACATCGGGTAATTATTAACCGTTAATATGGTGAAATTACTTCTCATTAAGCACACATACATATTGGTGTGGGTGTGATTTGTACTGTTAGATTTCACCGTGTATAGCATCAAACAAACCTAAAATAATGTTAAGAAAAACTATGTGAGGGTCCATTGAGCCAACTTATCATCTCCATGGGACTGGTCAACAACCTTCCCACCAGCTCATTTCTCATAGTTGCTATACAATGTAACCCACACATTGTAGGTTACTATACGCCCCACGTATCTGCTCACGATCATCCTCCAACATGGGCCCCACAGCCGAACTGGGGATCGAACGGTAGCCAATATCATTCCCCATCTTCTCTTCTTGTTAGGGTTCACAACTGTCAACTCGGTCTCCCCTGAGCCGACTCGGATCTTGGCATCTGACAAGGGGTGTGAACGAGCCGAGCTTGGCTGTTTTGGCAGGTTCAAGCTGAAGCTCATTTTATTTTGTTTGTTTGTTTTTTCTTTTTTCTTTTTTATTAAAAATTATTTATATTATTATTATAATATTTTATATTATTATGCATTATCTAAGTAATATAAATTTGCTTTCTATTTAAATATTAAAAATATTTATTATTATAGAGTAGTTACTATTTAGTTATTCGGTAATTAATAAAATAACTCTCTCTCTTTTTTTAATAATAATAATAATAATAATAATAATAATAATAATAATAATAATAATAATAATAATAATAATAATAATAATAATAATAATAATAATAATAATAATAATAATAATAATAATAATAATTAAAAAAAAAAACCAGCTCGTAAGCCGGCTCGCGAGCTGTCGAGCAACTATATTTAGGCTCGAGCTCGTCCGAAGCTTGAACTCGTTAGCTCGAGTTCAAGCCTTTGTCAAGCCGGCTCGGCTCGTTTACCACCCCTACATCTGACTCGGTCTTTGCCACGTCATTCATGACCGCCCAGTAGCTCTTCCTCGGCGACGACAGAATTCCGATGCTGTTCGGAACAACTTTAGTCTGCAGGTTAGTTTTTACGAAGGAGTTTGCACGGCCGTCGATGTCTAGGTCAAGATGGAAATTGACGAAGTGATCGTGTCGGGTTCCAATGGTGTTCTCTCCAACTAATGTACCGTATAATTCCTCTGCATCTTCTGTTTGGTCCTTGTGAGTGTATTTTGATGCCTTCACCAGGGCTGGCTCTAGCATGCTGGGGTCGTAGGCGAAGCGAAAACATTGGACCCCTATAATTAACATATAGTTTTTATTTTTGTATTGATGCAATGCATCAATTAATGCCAAAAAAAAATATAAAACAAAAATAAATTTTACCAAACTAAAATAGTAAATGAAATTATTCCTTATTGTAGGACCACAAAATTCTGTATTAGCGCACAAGTAAATTCACAAGGTTGCGATTTTTTTTTTTAAATATTTACATAAACAAATTCAAATTCGTCAACAATATTTTTTTAAAGTAATAGAACAAATAAAACAATTGAAATTCATAAATTTTAATTCAATATTAGAAAAACGATTAAAATTTTAGTAACAAGTAGAAATTTTAGGGTGTTTATAGTATAATTAAGTAAAAAACTAACAAAAAAATGTTTAGTTTTAGTAGTTTGGATTTTTCATCACATTAGGGGTCGATTTTAGGATATTGGGGGCTGGGCGAAGCAAAACTTGGGCCCTAATGTTATATACATATGTTTTATTTTGTATAATTGTTTTTATAAATTATCAAAGAAAAAGTGAAAATTGCAATAAAAATCAAATGTACCTACCCAAACAAAAATAGTAGAAAAATCAATAAAAAAAACAAAAAATACAGAAAAAGTTATAATACAGCACATTTTCACTTCTTGAAGTCAAGTGGAAAAAAAAGAGTGATAACGATTGAAGGATAATATTTATGTTAAAGTAACCGAGGACCCACACAATTAAATATACATGTATTATTAATCATATTAATTAATTGAGGAGCCTACAATAGATATAAAATTTATAATATAAAAAATTAATGTCTACTTTATACAGATTTTTTATATATATAATACGTAGTGTAAAAAAAAAAAAAAAAAAAAAGGAATAAAGAAGTGTACAGGTGGGCCCCCACTTAAAATGGGACTCTAGGAAACTGCCTAATTTGCCTAGCGGTAGAGCCGACCCTGAGTTATTTCTATGCTACACCTGGTGAAGGTTACACTGAGTGATTTTTTACCGTTGATAAACTCACATGTTTTGAATTTGTAGGGATAATTAATTAGTTTCATAATTAAAATTTTAGATTTATCAAAAAAAAATACATAAATTAAAATATTATTCTTCTCCACCACTTCTCTACAGCTGCTTAAAGAACCATGGAGTTGCATGCAGCAGAAGGTATCTTTCCTCTCCTGACCTCCCACGAGAAGTATGTGAAGGTGATGCTTGTGCAGGCTCAATAATTAT